AATATATATATATATATATATATAAATGTATAAGAAAATTATATAAAAAAAAAAAATAATTTATATTTTTATATTCAAAAAATACAACAGATAATTTTACTACTTAGATTTCTTTTGAGATATTGTATAAAATTAAAATCTAGTAGTGAAATTTGATTATGATATGAGATCTATCACATGATTTTGGACCTTCCATCTATATAACATGTTATAAGCTTCAAATCTTAATAAATCTTGAAAGAGACCCATAAAAGAGACCCACCACTCATACTATATAATACTAAAATAATAATAATAATAATAATAATTATTATTATTATTATTATCACTTTTTTTAAATGTTATATTACTTTATTAAATAATAATATTAAGCTAAACATATATTAAATTTGTTTTTAATAACAAAAAGAAATATATTTTTTTTAAAGATCAAATTTTTAATGGTTACATGCCATGTGTCTGCCCATGACATCAACCTTAATTAACTTAGACTTTTGTGTTTCTTCTCATAAAGGTTATAGATAATGTGTTTGTTAAACTAAACACGTTTAGGAAATACAATTACACTTTTTTTTTTAAACCAAAGTTATTAATCTTAGTTTATACAATTATAAATATTCTCATTAACAAATTAAATTACACTTATTAGTCATACCAACATAAAGATATATATATATATATTTTAAAATAAGGTTTAAATATTCAAATAATTTCTTATCTAATCCCGGATAGGAATTACATCACTATTATTAGTATTAATACAAGTGGGTCGATTCTATTGGAAATACTCATCAAGTCAACCTAGAAGAATCTTGACTTCACAAATAAAAATAGATGATCCATGCATATATATATATATATATATATATATATATATATATATATATATATATACGTACACGTATTTATCTACTAGTTATTCATCTCGTATGTACATATATATATATATACACACACACATACATACGATAATAATAAATCGAATATTAAAATCAAGAAAAAAAAAAGAGATAAAAAGGAGTGTAGTTTTGACGTTAATTTAATTAGGACGTGTTTGGTTATCATTTGCAACAAAATTTTGAACAATTAAATTATTAAGACATAAATCAGATAATTAAGTTAATCTTGCAAACTATTTATCTTAACCCAATAATTAATATTTTCTGAGTCAATTGTGTACTTTTGTTATAAAAAAAAAACTTATATTATAATTTGTTGTATATATATATATATATATATTATAATTAATAAAATTTATTCGTAAAATGATTATTCTTAAGAAAAAGTAGATTCGGATTTGAAAAATAGGGCACGAGAGGATATAAATTATAAAAAATGTACCATGTAACAAGAGGAGGAGAACAAATGGTCGGTCCATTTAAAACCCACATTTACACAGAAATTCAAGACTTTGGATCTATATAAATATAATTTTAATATCCCAAGTTGACAAGTTTACTAATTAGGAAAGTACGTTGTAGTTGGGTTCATAAAAATGGAGATTAAAATATATAAACACTGTATATATATATATATGTATTAGTTTTCTTATAAATACTAAGAGTAAGATATTTTTTTTTATATTTTTTCAAAATTAATTATATCTATGTTAGAATTCGAAAATTCACAGAGAAATATTTAAAAACTTAATCTTAAAAGAATCGACTTTAAATCTA